CCCCAAAACCCCAAAACCCCAAAACCCCAAAACCCCTTGATTTTAAGTAGGAATTGAGGGGGATTTTTAGTGAAGAAATAAGCAGGGTTGGAGGAGTTATTGGTTAATGAGGTTTAAGGAGGAAAGATATGGTTTTGGAAGGGTTTGCCAGGAATTAATTGCTTTTTCTTTGCTTGGAAAAGAATTCGAATAGGATGTGCTTCGCTCATCTGTAAATCATTTGATTTTGATTCTCTCATTGAGTGAGTTATTACAGATGACAAACCTATATTTATAAAATTTATATTACTTGAAGTATTATGAAGATTTTTTTAATTGGTGTTTAGTGGAGCTCTGATTGTTTAATATAGATCGAATATCTCAGAACCACTTCAGAAATTACAATTACAGAAATCCTTGAAGAACATCTCGATGATAGGACAGTAATAAAAATCATGAAGAGTTGGCTAAGGAGCTCATTTTGAATGTAACAGTTAGGCAAAAAGAAGATTGATAGGCAAGAAAGAAGGTAAAGATTTATAAAGAAGTCCGTCCTCAAGAAACTTATCTATGAGAACTGTATGATCCTTGTCCTAGGCAGCTAAATTTTGTGCAAATGTGATAAGAAGAAAGTTGGGTAGTATTTAAACAGAGATCTTGCTGATAAAATTAGCCTTGAGTCATCCATAATTAAGCTTAATTTTGAACTAAGCGGAAGAGGGATCAAGAACTTTGATGACGACAAGTTTTATGTTGAGGAAAGGAACAATATCTGTGTTGCCTGAGGAAGTAGTAAGAATTATGTAAGTTATCAAACCATTCCTGAAAGTTCAGAATCTTTTCCTAGAGAAGTGCAAATCTTATAGAAGTCATTATGTTATTTTGCTGTGTTTTAACTGCATCTAGATGGCTATTAGAAAGTAAGTTGAGCTTGAGCATGAGCTATCAGGGAATATAATGTCCCAATGAAGGTTCTTAACATAGAAGCTCAGAGAAAAGAAACAATAAATTTATTTTTAAAGAAGGCCTAGAAGCATAATCAGAGGAGAGAAGAAGATTCCAGAAGAAAGACTTCTAGAATGTACAAGGATTGCATAGAGGAAGCTCGGAATATTCTGGAAGGAGAAGTGTTAAAAGAGGAACATCAAGAATCCTTGAAGAAATTCTTGAGCTCACTAGAAGAGGAGTCAAAAAATAGATTTTCGGTCTTAAAAGATTCGCTTAAATTCGAGCCAAGACATATATCGTCTGTTTTTACCAAGAGGCAGAACATTTATGGAAAGTTGATCGCTGAGAAGTATGGAAAGAGCGACAAAATCCCTGATTTCATAATGATGTTGAGGCAATTCTTTATTGATAATCTCAAGTCAAAATATCTACCAAAGAATTGATATGTAGGCCATTTAATCGAAAGAGTGTCTGGAGGCTAAATCTCTTTTCTACCACAGGGAAGATGGTTAACAGTGATATGATTTCATCTGCTAAAAGTCTAACATTTGTATCTATATGTAGAGAAGATGTGGGGTTTTGGGGTTTTGGGGTTTTGGGGTTTTGGGG